AGGTTGTGGATGTGTAGTTTTAGGAAAAATCAATAAAATACATATAACCATTACATGATGTGGAGGTTCATTTAGTTTATTTACATTTCTCATTTACAAAAATACTTCCATACCATGACATATTTTAGAGTGAAACACGTTTTAGGCAGGATCTCTGAGCTAACTGAGAACAATGGGGGAGCATGATATTATTGGTTTAGTATTATCTTTTACCGCTGGTGCACAGTGATGTAATCAAAACTCAGAAGATATTGTAGAGGCCAGTAAAACTCATTACACTTCAATCAGTGATGGAAAACAAGAACTCCACCCTCCATATGGCAGACTGAGTTTGGATTCCTAGCCCAGGCCTATAGGAGCCCTTAAGCAAGATGCATAATGCTACATTAGCTTAGCTGTAACATGCCTACACTATAAGTTGCTCTTGATAAGAGCATCTGCCAAATGCTGTAAATGAAAGGTGCTTAATGACCACAGACATTAACTAACAACTTAAAAAAGATTGATTTCAGGTTGATATTAAAGAATTGTCCACTGAAAGGCTCTTAAGGGAAGCAGTTTTTTTGTCTATGGCAGAGGTTCCCAATTCTAGTCCTGGTGACCCACACTGTGCACACTGTTGTGCTTTGTCTCATCCAGCACACTTGATTCAACTCAGTAAATACTTAACAAGTGTCTCATTGATGGGTTCAGGTGTGTAGAGTAGGGAAAACACAAAAATGTGCACAGCACTGAGTCATCAGGACTGGGACTGGGAACCCTGTTTCCATGGCATCGCTCTAAAGAACTCTTTTGGCACCCTTTTTTTAAGAGGGTAGCCAATCAGGGTCTTTTGCATATCGTAGTGTCATTAGAAAACCTTATGTCTTTGAAATGGTGACTTTAAGAAACATCCATTATAGCTTTTTATTTAGTTTGGTGCATTTGTACTGGTCCGTTTCTCACACATGAAATGTTCACACAATGTAAAGGGCAGCTGCCTTTTTCAAACAATGTAAAAACAGCCAAAAAATGACTTTTTGAGATGTGATGATATGAAGCTCTGTCTCTCTCTCGCGCGCATGCTCTTTCTTACTCATACACACACGCACACACACACTCTGGCACACATTGTTCTTTAAGGCGTGTCACATGGCGCATTTCCTCAGCAGTAAGAATGTTTCCTCTTCTTCACTCTTATTTTGACGTCAGTGCTGCACTCTGTTAGGTAGTAACCAGAATTCATTCATGTGGCTGTATGTTCTTAAAGAGACAGCACTACTCCTGGGGGACGTTTCTGGCCTGCTGGTCACAAATCGAAAATAGTTTAAAACAGTGAAATTGTGGAGTGAATCCAAGAATGGTGAAAATGGGATGTGCATTTCGGGATAGTTACTCTTTTCTGTGCAGTGTGATTAACCGTCCATTGTCTTCAATGGAGCTGTGGAACAGCCACAGAGATACTGAGAAAAAAGATGAAATGGGATGTAAAACAGAGAGTGGCAATGGACTGGTGCAGTTTAGGTTAAAGTGGATTTCAGTTGGGCAGAGCAATCAGCACAAAGACTGTTCAAGGCTCTAACAAGCTTTACTTTTCTGTTCCCTGAAAGTTATGTTTTTGCATCATGTCACAGGACTAGCAGAAACCTGTAATACCAGCCATTCACACATGGTCAGTGAGAAGAATGTTGTAACACATCTTTCTGCTCCAACTGCTTGTACCTGTAATCATCCTTAACTGCAGTGACTTTTAAGGTAATTTCCAGATTTCAGGAAGCAATTCGCTAACCGTACAGACTTTCGCTTTCTCCTACAGAAGACGTTGTCAATTCTCAAGACTGGGATGTAAGTATTTGGGAATATGTCCTGAATACAAGTATTGGGAATGTGTATACAGAAATAAAGTATCTGTAATCAGTCCCAGTTACATTTTGAAAACAAAGTATTCATATTTTTAGGAGAACAGAATACTTACCCTCTCAAATATAAATGGATGCAATCTTTAAAAGAAACACAATCAACGCTTGTTTTAACTATTAACTAATAACGATGGCATGTAGCAAACATTCGTTAGACGAACCCTAAAGAGGACCTTTATTATGGCTTCTTTACAAACACTGAAGTTCTTACTAAAAAGCCTGAGTATACTGATAAATCAATGTGATGATCAGGTATTAATCTCAGTGTTACTGAGCTCTTTTGAGAGATGATCAACCTAGTTATTAAGATTTTAACTAGTAATTAAGATTTTCCCATGTACCTCACCAAGATGCATTATAAATGTATTATAAATGTATTCTGAAAATGTTACTTTTTATGTATTGTAATGGAATTTGTCACTGAATACATTTAGGATGGTGTATTCAGTACTCAGTCATCACTACTTTTTCAAAGTATTTGCCCAACCCTGTCAATTCTGTTGATATTGCATAATCCCTCTCTCTCTCTCTCTAAACTACAGGTTTTAGGGTGGATTTTTGAGGGCCGGCTGTTTGGTGTATTTTTTATTTCCCGCTAGCTGGTGAATGCAAAAGGTTAACGATACTGCTAAGCTATGATGCTAGATGTCTTATTTTAGCCGTGTAACTGTAGTAACTGTCTTCAAATTATCACTGCAATGAACAGAATGGATACTTGAGCTACACAAATAACTCAACAGATGAGGAGGACAGTTGAAAGCTAAATTTAGCAAGGTGGCTACCTGGCTATACGTCACCTCAGTTTGGTTCTTTTCTCCGGCTGGAAGGATAGAAATTGTCTCTGGCATCTATTTTGTGCTAAGTAAAGATAGAAACTTTCAAATTTGGTTTAATGGCTGAGGTAAGAGTTATAATAATGCTAGCTTGGTTTATTAGCCTATAGATCAGTGGCTAGGCTAGCAGACAGGATTGACACCATAGTGATTCCCAATTGGTGTATGATGTAGCTGCACATTACATGCAATACATGAGTAATATAGTGAAGGAACACTGATGAAAAAGTGAAAACGATATAAACTCATGAGTTCTGTCAAACCGATGAGGTTCAGGCTGCACTACAGAATATAACATAACATGACAAATAACATGTTAAACTCTAGTTTAAGGTTTAAATACCCCTATACATGATTAGTGTTCTCCTCTGAGTGTGTTGAAGCATTCGACATGCAATGATGAATGGACCAATAGAAATACTCCGAAGTACATGGAATAAAATCTCATTACATTAACATACATCCATTTTTCCTCCTGTAAAGTTGCCATTAACAAGGGTTTGTTACAACAGCAATGAAATGTATATTTAGGTCTAAAAAGATCAAGAGATTATTACGTGCAGTAAATGTACAGAGAAAGAGAGCCAGCAGAAGGGAATCATCTTGGGGAGCATGCATGCAGGCTTTATGTAACCAGCTGCCTGTCTACAGACATGTCATGCTGGGAAGTGTGGCCACACACACACACACACACACACACACACACTAGAATGTGTAGAAACCAGCATAGACAAGCATGGCTAGTCACCACCAAAACCACCCTTTGTTGTTTTTTGAATGCAGGGTTAGTGTTAGAGTTAGCTGGTCAACTGGCTAGCTAGCAGCTAGACTAGCTAAATCAGCATCAGACCAGCACTAGACCAGCATAAACCAGCTTAGACCAGCATGAACTGCATGCTGGTCCATGCTGTTTTTTTCAGCAGGGCTTTCACAGTCATATATCCTACCTGGCAACGCTTAAGTGTTGTGTCTCACAGCCGTAGTAGGGTGTGTGTGTGTTGTGGTTGGCAGTGCAGTGTGTGTGGACAGAAGGTCAGAGAGAGCAGATCACCAGCATGTGAGGAGATGAGGCAGCATGGCAGGCTGGTGAGATATTCTGCTGTTGGGTAAAGGTGTGTGTGAAGTTTGAGCGTGAGCTCCTTTTCCTGCTGCCCTCGCCTGCTCTCTGCCTAAAGAGTTATGACCACTGCTCTCCTACCACCATTCATTAGCTGTACTCTTAACGCCAGCCTGACGCCTTACATCACACATACACACACCAACTGGCAGCTTCAAACATCATTTGAACTGAGAAGTTTGGCCTAAGATAACATAAACTTCACAGAATACACAACAAAAATGTATAAAAGCCCCCACATGAAAGGTGAGAATAAACCATATTTCACATTGCTGGAAATTTGTTAATCTTTTTGTTTAAAAAGCAACAATCAACAGCCTTATTAATGTGTCTACAGTGGTATGCAAAAGTTTGGGCATCTCGATCAAATTAAGTTTTGTTGCTTTTATAAAAAAATAAAAAAGTAAGTTACACATCCTCTACAGCGAGCACACTACTGCACATTTAATGCACAATTACTGTTTATTTGTTGCATTTCACACATTGCAAAAAACAAAAAAAAACCCATAAAATGTGTCCTGTACAAAACTTATGACAAATTTATATATTTTTTCCAATATGTTAAACTCAGCAAATAAACAGAAATTTTGCAAATTTGCAGCAAAATGTCATATTTAAGTGCACTTTATGTAGAGGATGTGTTAACTTATTTTCAATTAGAACATCAACAACATGTAACTTGACCAGGGGCTTTATGGCTGTGTACATCATAAGAGTTTGTACTTTTTGTGTAAGATTTGAATCATGATTTCAACTCTTTTTCAATTTATTTCAGGCCAAATCAGGTTGTGGAATGATAAACACTAACACCACTGTCTAAAACATCCATTTGAATAGTAACAATAAAGCCCATTAGTTGATAATAATATTAAAAAAACTTGAGGGGCTTCAGAAGCAATAACATTTCATCATTTGTTTCATTTATTTAGCCATTTGTACATATTTAAAAGCTGTTTGTTATTCTAAAGTTTACATCTGCAATGTCCCAGCTATTTGGGCCACCTAGGGTCTCGTGGTCTTTGGAAGTCTGTTTGAGGGGAAAAATGTATATACCTGTTATCTCATTCACTGGATGGCATTATTCTCTGATGCTAATTCTGCACAACGCTCTATAATAGTGAAGAAAACATCAAGAAGGCAAGGAGGACATTCGATTCTTTACCGGATTTTTATTTTTACATCACATAATATTGAAACTTAGCTTCACCGATACAAAAAAACCCCTTTAGACATGGCAAATATACAAATCACACTTAGTTGATCCACAGGAGGCAGACACTGCTTGGCTAGCAGTATGTCAGTGCTTCTTGTGGGTTTGATGGCACTCAGGTAGAATGTTTTAGAGAGACAAGTCGAGCTCCAGCTGTGGAGTTGAGCTTCATCTGCGGAGGGTCTGTCGGCTTTCTGTGTCATCATTAATGCTTCGAAAATCAAACCGACATCAAGAGTATCGTACAGAAATAAATAATTGTGAAAACACTGCTGAGGTATTGGGGGGAAAATCACCATAGTAACCCTCCACAATTTCAGCTGGACTCCCTTTGTTAAATACCTGAGGCAAAGTCAAGGCACAGAGCTGAAGCCCATCCAGCACAACACTGATATAAGACACTGGGCATGCAGGTGTGTAAAACAAGTCTGACTGAATGCTCCCTGATGTAGAGTCCAAACGGACGTCCACATTCAGGCGGACTGGACTCAGCGTCATTTTAAGGCAAAGCATCACAAATGTACATGCTTAGGTTTAAAGGAGTAGTCCAATGTTTTTCATAGGTTTTCTTTAATGGCAGCACAAAAAATGACCTCACACAGGCTTCCAAGGGCCATAGAACGAGGAAGCAAAACTGCTGTTGTCTGATAGTTGTGCTATATTTTCTTTTGGAGAGAAAATACTTTCTTTTATTCATCTTATCGAGAAACGTTATAAACAGTGAAGCTGATGCTTCACTATCCCAGCAGACCCGGCCATCAAATAAAGGGTAAATGGTAGTAATTGGTGAACATGTCAAAATCATCATAACTTGACAATTTCTTTTTGTTAAACTGTTTTTATGCATGTGTTCTTCCAAGATGCACTTCTATGAGCCATGGAATCCTGTAGGCAGTCATTTTTGTGCCATATTTACTTTAGGATCATTAATTTCAACAAAGTACCCAACAAAATCTTTAAAAAACTCTAAAAAAAAAATGGATTTTTGGGAAAGATTATGGATGATTCCTTTAAAACGTGTACAAAAAACAGCAATGTGCCATACAGACGCCTATGCTTCTGTGACTGGTATGTACCATCATCAGCTGACATGTAATCAAGTAGCATAAAAAAACTTCCGTTTTTTCATTCATTCATAAAAACAGCCATGGAGGTCACATAACAATAGAAATACAATAACTTTTTCACAAATTTACAAAGCAAGCTCAAAAAGGAAAAGAAAGAAAGAAAGAAAGAAAGAAAGAAAGAAAAAGAAAGTTAGATGACCTTAACAAACACCAAGATCTAAAATACATAATACTACAACTGTACTGGTAAACTTTTGAGATGCTAAACCTTCCCACCCTTAAACAACTCACTAATTGTACCTCAGTAGATTATTTACAAAGAATATACAATTGTCCAAAAAGACCATGTTTGTGATCCAAGACATGCACAAAATATACCATTTCATTTGAAATATTTATTTGCTTATGTCTAAATAGACCAACAAAGGATCCATAAATATTGTCCACTTTGGCTAGATGGGAACGAAATACCTGCAGTGTTTGGTTTCAAAACCTCTGCTTATGGCATGATGGTCTCTGTGCCCAAACGTAGACAACTACTCTCCGACATGGCGAAGGAAATATGGAATCGACTGGCAGAGTGATGCAGCACGGCACGGTCAAAAACTAAGGCAAAACTTCTAACTACTTTCATCATGCCATGCAAAAAATGGGCAAACTACATGATTTTTGGGGGGAAACTCTAAAAAAAGTAATTGAATGTAAACCCTTAAGAAGTCGTTTCAGCTAAAATTTACTGGAACATCTGGTCTGCACGAGACTTTGGTGTTCAGAAGGGGAAGCTACCCTGACTGACAGGAACAGCACTACACACACACACCAGTCCTGTCAACCAAGCTCTGAGCCTCCAGTATAAACGTGTGAACTTTTCTGTATGGTGCTGTAGAGTATGGTGAGTTTTTTTTCTGACCTTTTCTCCATTCATGGGTCATTCCTCAACAGTTATACTGTTCACAGCGAAGAAACAGGGTTTAAGCACAAGTCAACTCTACTGGTGGATGAGTTTCAGTTGCTGATGACTAATGCAGTGAAGCCCTCCTGGTATCAAGCGCTCAGATTTCAACTAAAACCAAAATGGTCGGCACCAGCTGTCCCACTTTCGTCTCTCTCCTTGGGTTAGAAAGACAGCACCAGAGTCAGAATGGAGCTAGACATCTAGCGGTCGCAATCAGCATTCAAAGAGCCTGCTGTTTTGAGTCGGGCCGTTCAAATATCTTCACATTTTCTTGCATAGAGTTTGTCTGCATGTGACTTGCAGAGTAAATACAATACAAGAACAACACAAAAAGAGTCCCAGCTCAGCAGAAAACAATAACAGCATATGCGGCCGCCGCATGAAGATCACGGTGGATTGATCTGTAGACGCGGCTCTAAACTCAAGTTTTAAGCAAAGAAGAATAAGAACATTGGCCCATTTCCCTCACGAGCTGGGTCAAACTCACCAAGCAAAGAGCTCATATGACCTCAAAACCCTGAATATGAAAGTGATAGTTTGATCTTCCACAGCTTACTCTAGTTACAGTTCCATAATGAAATGTGATTGTTCAGTTCAAAAACATGAGTTAAGAGAGTTAAGAAATGCTTTCTGATGATAAGTATAAAGGATTGATGCCAGTGAAAAAAAACGAACATACCAAAAAATACCCAAAATAACATATGCATGTTTGTCAGGATGCGCTGGTGTATGAACATACATAAAACTCCTGAAACCTAGAAGTGCTCTTTGTACATACAGAAAATCCCCACAACCTCCTGAAGCATCGTAGCGGCACTTTTTTTTCCACAGCAACGTCTGTCTGAGGCAGTTAGGTCAGATTCATCATCCGTCCACCTCCCTTTCTCTCTCTTTTCCACATAGAGAGCTCTCTGTGATATCACCTAAAGCCAGGCTGTTGACACAAAGGCTGTTGATGGAGCAACACAAGAAGCTGGAGTCACAGCTGGAGTTTCACAACTACATTCACTACACGCTACAGTTCAGCTTTCTCAGTATTTATCTAAAAAAGCATTACATAAGAACTAGAGGACACAATCAGGTGACACAGGGAGGACAGAGAGAGAAAGAGAGATTGTGATGGCTGAACGTCCGCTTGTTAATACTGTGTGTGGAGGGGTGTACTCTGCGATGTGACTGTCACATGGCTTGTAGTAACATTCAGTCTGCGTGTCTTTGGGCAGGTTGGGGTGGCTTTCCGGTCATTTAGTGACCACCTCCAGACCCAGAGGGGTTGTGGATCCAGTCGAGGATGATGAGAGTCAGGCTGCCTATCATGAAGATGACGCCCACCACCAGGAAAATGAGTGCCTGTGGATGCAAGGGAAGATTCGATATGAGCGATGACTCTACAGCCACACTACAGAGTGATTAATGAGCATGGCTGTGGTCGTACTCTGTCATACAAAGGTAAAGAGCAAAAGCTACGCCAACATTAAAACTGCAAAAAAACAGCTTCAAAGTTCTGTTCCCAAGTAAAACATGTTGAAGGTATATATGTAATACTGCACACACATCAGTACATTTTTAAGTAATGGTTATATAGTTAGCAACCCTTTAACCCTTCGCCCTTTAACCCTTCGCTTCTGACAGTCACGACATGTGTTTAAACTTGCATAATTTTACAAACATTTGAGATCTCAACCAACTACAAGAGAAGCTGACATTTCTATGTCAGTTCACTGAGAAAAATGCTCACAGACCTGTACATACAGACAACAGATGTCCTAGTGACTTGTGCAAGTTTGATGATTATAAAAGTGGTGTTTCTTTCTTTTAAATTGTTTGTTTCTATATATTGTGTTTTTTGTTTATTTTTACATTTTTAATTTAATTTTAGAGTTCCTAATGCTTCTTTTATGTTGTATATTATTTTCATCTTAAACTTTGATAATATGTTTCTATTTCTAGAATTGCTGAGAAGAGTTTCTGCTGAGTCAGATTATATACATCACTTGAAAATAGTGAAAAACATCACCAAATTACACAAAAAAATAGAAAGATATGCCCAACTAGTTACTTTTGGGTTCTGAAGGGTTAAGTAAATACATAACAAGGAAATAAGTTTTCCTTTACCGTATATTATGTATTATTTAATTACTTTTTTGTGCAATTTAAACCTGTAATATTGAATAAAACATCTTTAAATATCTTAGCTTATAATATTTCAATATACACTGTTTAACTGTGTGTCGTTGCAGTCGGGTTAAAACCCCATATTTCCAAAAAGGTAACTTTACAGGAGAAGGAAAAACCCTTGTTAACTTTAGATGGAAGCTGATGGAACCAGATTTTTTTCCCCAAGTAATTATGGTGCATTTCTGTTAGGCTTTGGGTATTTATGTCAAATTATGTCAAAAAATGAAAAATGGAGATACAAAGTATAGAGTTGTAACACTATATGGCAGTGGTTTTAATATCAGTTTTGTAGCTTCAAAGCAGTATGTCATATCTGGCTTAAAATTATATTATGGCAGACTGAATCTGAATGATAAGGCAGACTTACTGATATCTTCTGGGTGGATCTGAATGGTATGCTCTTGACCAGCCGCAGGTAGAAGGCAGCCGGCAGGATGAAGATCAGCATGGTGGCAGCAGAGGAACCTATGAGATTCAAATGTAGAGTATTAGTATGTAGGAAGCGAGATCCAACCAAGCATATGTCTTCACTTCCCTGATGAGATCTTACTTTTACTTAATTACTGGAAAATGGTGGAAAACACTTGGTGAATCTCAAGGGCAGGATTACTAATCAGCCCAAAACAGTTTTCACTGTCATGGTTTGGCTGGAGATGTTTGTGTGTTGTAAGGCCTCGGTGCCAAGGCTGCCCTGAAGATGGTCTACAATCTGTTCTTCATGCTTTTTGGCATTCTTACAGAACTGCAGTAGCACACAGGAGAACATCATCACTCACCTATAAAGCCAAAGATGTCTCTGATTGTCGGGACAAAGATGACGAGTAAATTGTTGAAGATCAAGATGGCGAGAGCGATGAGGATGTGTCTGATCCAACTGAATTCTTGCCCAGCAAAAAGCAGAGTGACGATGGACGAGCGAATCTAAAAAACATGGGCACAAACACAAAAGCTTACTTACCACAAAATATATACAGTATGCATCTTCATTACAGTTCATACAGAAACAAATTTTGGTGGTTTATGCACTTAATAATGACTTTGTTGAAGTGTCATTGTTTAAAGTGCGACTAATTAATTTATTTTTACACCCCTTTTTCCATATTGCTCCGCATTTCTTGTAAGAACAATGTGGGCTGAACACTCGAATAAGTACACAGGATATTGTGGTTTTGTGACTGACTGAAAGTAAATGAAAAATAAACAGTTTCATTAATGAAAAATGAACATGGATTTTCAGTCCAATAAAGAGTTCTGGACGGATAATGTGAGAGGATATGAAAGTAATATGTACAGTGTTATTTTTTTATTATTTTTGAGCAGGGCTGTCTTCTGCTTTGTTCTAAGAAAAGAGGCTTCTTCTTCCTCTGTGGTAGCAGCTCTACCTGCTCTGGTAAAGCAAAACCGAAAATAAGAGCTGCAAAGTGCAGTAATGCATGTGTGAAGAGACCAACCAGTCCATTACTGTATACAACCCAGACCTCTAGACCTATCATGTGTATATATGTATCACTGCTTTCGGAAGAAAACCTCGTATCTCCAATAACTTTGCAGGAGAAGGAAAAAACATTTTCAACTTTTAATGTAGGTCAATTGAACTAGACTTATTTCCAAGTCATTTTGGGCTGTTTGATCCATTCTTCATGAAATTTACTCACAATGTAAAGGGCAACAAGCATTCTCAAATTATGTCAAAAACTGAAAAACAGCAAAAATGGAGATACGAGGTTTTCTTCCGACAGCAGTGATTTATATATGTTACACATGCATTACTCTTATGAATTTATCCTACACATTTTGCTACATGAAAATGGAGATGCTTAATGTAATTCAGGCCTAATGGTTCTTCATTTGTCACTTTGCTTGACTAATTTCTACACTTTATAAATGTTTATGTATCTGCATTTACAGATATATACACAATACTATTTGGAAAATTATGGTTTGGGTTAGATTTAAGAATAGGTTTAGGTTTAAGGTTGAAGTTAAGGTCAGGTTTAGGGTTAGACTGAATCATATCTATTACATTTCACTTAAAGTTCATTTGCATTTAATAGAATGCATTATTTGTAGAATCTACAAAGCATCAACTTCTGCCCTCTTCTACTGTTTTACTGTTTTACTGTTACAAACAAAAAATGATCATAAAGGCATCATATAATGATAATGAATTTCTTCAAATTATAAGGTGCTGCTGCTGCCACACCTATCAAAAATATGCTCTGCTGACTACGTATAACACACAAAAGCACACACAGGCCCACAGACACACACACACACACACACACACACACTGTAAAGCTGAATGAAGGGGTTGTGTAAGTATACGGGGGGCAGGTGTATAGAGAGGGATCAGTTAATGAGCTGAAGCAGGTCACAGGACCAGCTCTGATCGGCTCAGAGTGAAGGCCTGGGAACGCCAGCACACTGGGGGAAAGTTCAGCACCCACAGAGGTGAAACGAAGCCACCACGAGGCCACACACACACAGAAGAATGGACACAGGGCGGAGCTTAAACCTCTGGATTAACTTTCTGTGTGTGAAGCTTGTGAAACGGCCTGAGAGAGTTGCATCAGCCAGATCACAGCACGCCTGCCCCCACACCGCCTTTGACGTCTGCTGTCAGTTTACTGTAGAGAACACATTGAACTATATCATACTTCATTATAGGGAGTGAAACTCTTCAGAGCAAAGACTAGCTGACCCAGAAAGGTACAGCAGTGTTTTTAAATGAAGCAGAAAATAAAGTGAAGAGAATCTGATGTGACAGGCTACTTTTCTAAACATCTTAAAAGACAGTTATTAAATAATGGCAAATTCGGCTTTGCATAATTACCCCACACATAAGGCAGAAAGAAAAGTATGCAAGCAGATATGTATCATTGTACAAGCGAGAACTTCATGTTAGGCCATTTCTTCTAAACCAGCCTAAAATTGGTTGGTTGAGTTTACCATGAAACTGAGAGTGAACTAATCGGTGGACAGGGATAACGCGTCACGTTACATAACAACACTTTCATGATACATAATACATATCACAATATTTAATTTTTTCTGAGGTCTGATGAGCTGGAACAGGCAATACCACATTTAAAAAAATACCTGTAAAAACGAATCATTAATTTTTTTAACAATTCACACTGCACTGCACTAAATCCAGCTAAAGAGACCTAATTATGCTAATTAAGCCCTCATTAAACAACCTGTGTCATTTTTGTTTACTAAATACTTTACTTATTTTTTGTATTACTTTTTGCACAAATTCTAATCTTTTGTAAGTTACCACTACTTAACTGGAAAAAATGTAGCCAACAATTTTCAACTCATCTACACATCCAAATAAATATTTATTAAATTCACCTTCATGTTCCCTTATCCTAATCCTGACCCTAACTCTAACCTTAAACCAAAGCCAAAACCTAACCCTGGTTCTAACCCTAATCTTAACCCCAACACAGTTTCACCAGACAGTCTGTTCATAATTTGAAAATACTGTTGCTGTTGGAACAAAAACTCTCCAAAATAGTAACTTTACAGGAGAAGAACTTGTAATGGCAGTTAATGTAGCAAGATTTTTTTTCCAAGTAATTCTGGACCTTCTTTCTGTTTGTCTCAAGCAAACAACACAATGCAAAATGTAACTGCTTTTGTTAATTTTTGAAAAAAGTAAGAAATAACAAAAATAGAGATATAATGGTGTTTTTGTGCAACAAGGACAATATATAGACAACATACTGGGGGCTATCCAAATGAACAGGGACCAATTTGAACCAGGCTCATAGGATTAAACATAGAAAATTAAAAATAGAAACACTGTAAACTATAAAACATTGAAAACTTGTAAAAAAAATTGTAGCTGGGTACACTGTATTCCAATCTTGAGAAAAAGAGATATACTCTCACAGACACTCTAAGTGACAAAATGCAGCTCATTACCCCCCACATCTGGTAAAGCGTTTTAATACTACTACTGCTCTCTCTCTCTCTCTCTCTCTCTCTCTCTCAGCTAGGTGTCTGGGTTGTATTTTTAGCATAGTAATGAGAGTGTCCCACTCTTCTTGCACGGGTTCTTACATAAAGGGGCTGTTACTGGTTGGCACCTGGGTGTGACATTTCGGTTCCTCCAGTACTCTGGGCTAAAAGAATTCGGCGCCCACCGGTGAGCAGCGATGAGTCTTTGGAGGGTGCATGTGTGATATTCACCCAGCGGCCCTCTCTGTCTGCCAGTCGCCATGGAGGTGAAGCATGTGGCTACAGGCCACTGTAGTGAATCATGGGGCGGCGGTGGGAGCACGTTCAAACTCATGCAGCCACAGTAATCAAACTGTAGAGGCACAAGCAAGTCATTATGGGGGGAAAAGACTAAATCTGTAACTATGGGAGTCCTACAGCTTGCAGCTATTATCTCTTCCACAACTGAACAGATACACATTCCACAACTGTTCATTTCTAGCTAACGCCAGCGTCTCTTTGAGGGAAACTGGAGCCAAACGACAGCCCAGTCTGTAACAAAAGACTTCAGACCAGAGCTGTCGCACGCTGGGACACGTCTGAAGCTACAACGTCATATTACAGCTGCATTGCTGGAATATGTGAATACTAATCCTGTTCTTACAGCAGGTTTCAGCGCTGTGCTAATTAGAGTAAATCCGTCTGCTCTTTGCCTTAGAGCTGCAATGCTAATGTTTTAAATGCCAACAGACAGTCGTATTCAGGATCATTTAACGATATTCTCATCTGACAGTGCTGTGCTGCATCATATCCTAAACAGAGCAAAACCCCAGAGAACAATGGGTGTCTGCCAGTGCTCCCTGAGGTGACCTTTAGGACTGGACCCCTGTGTCTCTTACTGCCACATTCATCCTGAGCGCCCACTACAGGCTTAATCCTGTAGTACCACACACAGAGCACATGCTCTAATGGAAGACTGAGATAGACATGCTCTAATGTTTAATATAATTTATAATTTTATTTTTTCCTTTGAAAATAACCTGATGTTTTTGTAATTTTGTAAACCAAATTACCCGTAATTCATTTTACATGATCATTTTTTTAATCTCTCTTCATCCATTAAAATCAAACAGGCTGTTTTGGTTACTGTGCCTTAGGACTGAAATATGTAAATAAGCTCTATTCTGATTGGCTGCCCTGTACTGTGCCTCATTCAAAAAGAAACACTTTTTATAACTTCATCATGAATGGGCAGAGCTACACTGTGGTAGGCTGAATAGGCGGATATATGTAAATGTGCTGGTTTTCATGACATGATCTACTGGCAGCTTAGTAGTCATATATGGACTGGGGAGTGAATGCTGTGTTTTAAAACTTTATTGATGTTTACATACTGCATTAAAAAGTGAGGAAAATTAAATTTTTCATGATATAGGCCCTTTAAGCATTATTCTGTGAATACCTGGAGTTTTCATACAGAACACAGTTCACGTGCTTGCTCATATATCCGTGAATGGAGCGTTTCACAATGGCTTTTAAACATGGCTTAGCCAATCAGACTTAATCAGACTGGATCAGTTTTATAAACAGACTTTCAATGCAGCCTTGAAAGGAATGAATGGCTGAATTCAAGCTCCATAGTTGCGCGATTATAGAGAATAATGCAGTGTAACATACATATAATCAGCCTGTGACTACAACATGTATGACGCCACCGCACTTTAAAAACAGAGTCAGAAACGCAAGCCGGCTGTCATTAAGTCATCGTAAGAGGCCAGTCATGAGATAAACTTATTCCTCAAGTCACATGCGTATCACAGTGGAAAAAGCCCAGTAAGTGAACCTGTGCCCGTCGGTAGGAGAAATGGTTTATCGTGCTGTATCGCTGTTGCTAAGCCAAGGTCTCTGTAACCCAGAGACAAAGCAAATGTAATCTCTGTCTCTTTCTGTGAAGAGCTGTGACCTTTCAGAATGTGAAGGGCAAGGACTGCCAAAAACACAAAATGTCTCTTCTCTCATATATCCACAAGCCCTTCTGCCAGAGTCTAAATGCTATCTCTCTCCAACACAATGAGCTGTAGGACCCTATCAGGACAAGTAGTAAATTTATGTGAGCAAAACATACAAATCAAATGCATATAAAGACCTAGACTTTGTATGCATTCAACTTCACAGTACCAGGATATCATTGTCATCCAAAGAAAACGTGTATCTCCAAAATAACTGCTTTTAATTAAAACTTAATTTTTTATGTAAGTTAATTTAACAAGGTTTTATTCCAAGTTATTTTAGAGCATTTCTATTGCTTCATTCATCATTAAATCTTGAGCAATGCCAAGAGAAGTTGCTGTGTTCAATTGATGTATAAAAATAAAATTTAACAGAAACAGAGAATTTTTTTTTTTGGACAGAGATGATATAGAAATAGTCATAAATCCAAGGTAGGCCTTTATGGGTCAGTTTTCCAAAGAGAGATGAAGGCCTAGTCCTGGACTACACAGCATTCTAAATGGAGATTTTCCACTGAAAGGAAACTTAAAACAGCCTTACATGATCTTATCTGGTTGCCAGAAAGGAATATTCCAGCATTTTTCAGCCTGTTCTCTGTTACCTGCCACACTTTTTCATGTATGGTCAATTCCCACAGACAATAATTTTGATGCATTTCCATAAACAAACACAAAGACTGTTGACACGGAGCACAGTCAGGCTGACATGCTGAAGCACCCACCCACTGGCTTCTATTATAAGTGCGTTTTGAGTATAGGGAGATTGTCTGTAGCAACTGCCTGCTACAAGTGCTAAAATATTCCTTTAATGCTCACAGCAGATTTAAATGTGTGACTTCAGATAAGATACTCAGTAAATTCAGGAGTACATCTGTCTTCAGCTAAAGGACTCATTAAATTTAATTATCTTTCATCACACCAGAACATACAAAATCTCAGACGTCAATTTCAGCCTACACTTCAAATTACGCCTACGTTATTGTGAAGGTTATGGATTGAGAGTGAGCTTGATGTGTACTTGTAGCTCTCCTAGTGGTAAGACAGTCACATTGCACTGTCTGATTCTCTGCAAGGTCGAGCTGTCTGCACACATACACACTGGCTCAGTACAGTGGAATATTCCACACAATCCCACCCCCCCCACCCCACCCCCCTGGTGTCCCTCTGCTTCACCCCTCCTCTCAATGGATCTCCATCTGTATCTGCAGTCATGTCGCTGTCCTGATAGTTAATATAGCTAAAGACAAGTGTAATTTAGTATACAATGAATGCACTACTGATACATTTTTTACACTATTTACACTGTCCTGTCTGACACCTAAGGAAAAATATAAACCCTCTGAATGCTGCCTCCCTCCACAAAACTGACATTCATGAGTGTCTGATCCCACAGATTTGGCACTTACGTATCCCATAATAGACACTGGACATTGCCTGGTGGTTCTAAAAAGCTTTGGCTCACACAGCGCTCTGGCGTGAGAAAATATGAACAACCTGACGGAAATGGGCCAGGATTCATGGGAGGTAAAGAAAAAGGATTAACATTTTCTTTTCATTTATAATTCATGGAATTCAATGAATATATGATTGCATAACAGCACCATCTGGTGGACAGTTAAAGTTTTACAGGTTTTTATGTCAACAGTGTAAAAAGCTGAAGAGTTGCTGGGGCATGAGGAACTATTAACAGGTTATTAGTAAAGGGTGAATGTAGGGGATTTCCTAACAGAGACAGATATAGCAATACCTTAACATAATTTCACTACATTTCATTCTAATACATGAGTGCTAAATCTGTATAATAGCACCCTCTAGTGGATACTTAACGTTTCGCATGTCTGTACAAAGCTTTGCTTGACAGGCTGCTCTGTATAAACAGTTAGACAGGTTATTAAAAAAACTTACAAAAAGTAGCACCTACAATTAATTAAATTCACATCTCAAAACACCTCTCAGTGGTTAAAATGCCACAGATTTCATCACTCTTAAACACTCGTACCCCATTCCTCCGAATCTCCCTTGCACTCTTAAAAACAGCTCCATAAACATTACCTCATTTAATCCACACAGTGATCCATTTACACTAGATCACATAAAACTCCCAGACAGAAAGGTTAAAAAATAGAAATACGAGTGTGTGAGTGCGTCTAGAGCGTCCAGAAGAGCCCCAACTACGTCACACACTTGCTGGTCTGAGTACTGCGTAGCGTGAAGGGAAGCGGGACCCTAATATAGCTGTAGCCATGTAGGGTCCCGCAGCTCCAGTGACAGATATCACACTCCTCAACCTCACTCACCCCTGTTAGTGTGGCTAGGGGCTAAAATCCCACTTGGACAAAGAGCACTGGAGTTAACCAAAGCTTCGATGAGTGTGCGCTATATTAGTAAGTTTATATACTATATTAGTTTCCAATGAGGCAAAATAATAAAAATAGACTTAACTGAACAACAGCAAACCATGCATTACCTAAATGACACCAAAAACATCTAAAATATGTATTAGTATCATTCAAATGATCAAGTTGATGAATTGTGACATAGTGTTAGTATATGCCATAACAGTGAGTCTGTATGTGAGTGTGTGAGTATTGCAATGCTGCAAGCACTGGAAGCTCTGGGGAATTGGCACAGTTAACAGTGTCTGTTGAGAGGGAGCTGACGCAGAGCCACCAAGACTTTTTCATACTGTTGCCATTCACTGACCTCATGAGGGAACACTGTGTGCTTTTGGTCAGCACATAACATAGGCTGGCCAGGGTGACGCAGAACATAGCAGCACACCCAGCGCTCTGCCCAGCTTGTCAAAACTACTATTGAAAACCATGACGGCGGCCAAGAACCAAATAATTGGGCTGTTTGACGTGTATGTTTAATCGCCTAACACTTTAGTGTTGAACATGCCAGCGTGCCAGCACGATGGACGTGGTGTAAATGATAGTACAAAGTGGTGTAACCAATCAATACAACTCTCAAAAACACACACACACACACACACACACACACACCCACACAAACACACACAGATTTTCTAAGCTGCTTATCCTTCTGGGTCATGGAGGGAGCTGGAACCTATGCCGGCGGTCAATGGCCGGAAGGCCCGCTTAACAGGTAATTCTGAAAGGATGCTCTGATACACTACCAATCAAAAAAGTTGGAATCAACTCGTTACATTAATCATTTTACTTTTTATGGTGTTATTTATATGTTTAGTTATGTGGCTTTTTACTTGATTCTCTCCCCAATTTAGTTATTGCCAATTTTAGATACAGTTGTATGCAAACGTTTAAACAACCCTGGTTAAATTACATGTTTTGTTGATTTTCTCAGTAAAAAATACATAGAAATACATAGTGCTGCTTTAAATAATAAACAATATGCTGTAATTATGTATAATTTGTCATCAAAGTATTGACCTTTAAGTGTATTAAATTGCCACCAAAATTGGTATAAAACACAGGTTCTAAACTTCTTAGTACTAATGAATGTGCTGGTGTACTCACAGGGAAGAGGACAATGGGAACAGTGAGGGTCACAGCAGTCAGCACGGCCAGACGCACCAGCAGCAGCATAGTGTCAAACTTATACACTTTAGTGAAGGTGTGCAGCAACTCTGCCTCCACGTTTTCTGAGTGTGTGTGAGAAGAATGGAATGGAGGGAAAGGAGAATTGAGCATTATAAGAACATATACTTTATAACCTCATTATTTGTTATGAATTAACTGTATTGGACACAAAGCTTGCCATTCAAGTAGGTTCTAGCAGATGGACGTCTCTGTCTGTTCAGACTATGTGTGTTTGTGAGTTTTTAGTAAGGAACGTACCATAGAATGTGAGGTAGCCAAAGAGGGCCGACAGCATGTACATCACAAGCATAGCCAGGATTGAAACGTTCGATACTCTCTGCATTTTCCTTCGACTGCGACTGTGAAACGAAATGCAAAAACAAAGTCTCTGAAACAGATTCTCTTATTTTACTGTAACTTTTTCTTATGTTAAAAGTTTCTTTGTACTCACTCTTTCAGCTCACTGTAGATGGGAAGAACTTCTGGGTGACAAACAAATGCAAAGGCCAGAATAGGAACAGTGTATGCTGTCTGGATGAAGAAAAAAATCAGAAGGAAAATAAATAGACTTAAATGTCTACAGTTCATGCCTGCAACACAAACAACAGAATGATTGTGCTACGCTGCAATATACACCTTTAGTAAATAAACCAACACCTGCACACACTCTAACCAAATCAAATATCTTAAATAAATATTTTATGCATACAAACACAAACCCTCTGTCCTCACCTGTGAGTTGAACACAAAGTATTTGGGTGTGCACATGTCCTCGTAGTCATCGGGGTGGGGGACGTAGTGGACCCCGCTGTGGGCCACAGCAGGTGAGTTAGGGTCCGGGTGAACGCTGCTCATGTCTGCTCGAGAGAACTCCATCAGAGCTGAGCTGTTATGGAGAGCTTGCGGACCTAACAGCTCCGAACCATTCAGGCTCAAACCAGACGAGTGGTTGTAGAAGAAAGGCAGCGGACAGGGCAGCTGTGTCTTCTTATAAATCAGCTAAGAGCAAGAGAGAGAGCGAGAGAGAGAGAGAGAGAGAGAGAGAGAGAGAGAGAGAGAGTGGGAGAGGGAGAGAGAGAGAGAAAGATTATTTACTAGTCTGTAGAAGAGGTGGTCAATACATCAGAAATATCACAATACTTTAAGTTTTCACAGTACACAATGTTACAATATTTGTTTTCTGACATCTGATAAGCTGGAAAAGACCACATTTGATATTTAAAATATGATCCAAAACTATGAAAACACTGATTTCTATTTTTAACATTTTACATACTACACCGCACGAAATCCTATTAAATAAGACTAATTTTGCTCTCCTAAAATCAAACATGCAGTCGGGAAGTGTTACTTAAATGCAGACGATATCCACAATACGCTCAGAAAAGCATACTGTAATATATTGTGGTATAATTTATAATGTTATGATAAATACTGTCAAACTGCCCGGCCAGGCCCAAACAGGTAGTTGAAAGTTGATGCCATTAACCACTTCAAGGAACTGAGGAACTAAAATGTAGACCACCTGCCTGTGGGTCCACACTTCCGCTCCTTACTAGATGACCATTCAACCAATTAAGTGCTTCAATCTTGATAAAGTGAAGGAAAATTCTGTGTATACATAAATATTAATTTTGCTATGTCTAGCTTTAGTGTTTTAGTGTTAGGTTTAGCATTAGCTCATCCGAAGGGGCAGCCTTAGTCACGCAAGCAAACTCATCAGGTACAAAAAATGTGCAACTTTATTTCCAGTGTCTAAAAATGTTGCTGTTTTGATTCATATTAATGTGGTTTCTAGAGTTTGTCAGCTTTAAATTAGCTCACATTTATTTTCTCAATTCTCACTCATGTACGTCTGCACTGAAAATTCTGTAAGCCAATATTATGAAAAATGAAAATTTAATTTGTAATTTTTAATGTACTTTAAATTGGGCTACTGAACTTTTAGTCTGTTTGTTTGAGTGCTGCAGTTGCTACCAGGAGACTCCATGGTCTGCGATGAGCTGAAAGTTGGATGGACAGTAACTCAGGGAGGCAGGATTTTTAATTAATTACTTAACAAAGTATTACTGAATAATTCAGATGAGTTACTGTATAATCAGTCTTAAGAGCAGTAACTGAGTAAGTTTTAGACTTTAAAGGGCTAATTCAACAACAGCAGGTACACAACCTCAGACATTCTTCCAATTTGTCCATAATTGTTAATGTGGTTGGACAGCTTGAACTCACTGACTCATTCTGAAAGCTTAGATAAAAGAGATTTGGGACTGAGGACGCACTGGTGCAAGACTAACTAATCAACAATTGTTGTTTGTCGTTTTGCACCAATAGTTTCGAAAATTAGGCCCTTGGCTAGCTGGGCTCTGTGGTCGACAAAAAAAAGAAAAGAAAAAAAAACACTTACCACCCCCACAAAGAAGACCATACATGAAAGAGAGAACCCGCTGGTGTAGCCTAGGTAGCCTGCATGACAACAGTAAAATATTCATAAGGTGTAATACTAAAACACAATCACACACCTCCAACACAAAATCAAACGGAGGGCTTACCGAGGTTCTTGAGCAGGGACAGCGGTAAGATGACTCCAAAAGAAACAAACACCACCAGGTAATTACCGTTCAGGTACCACTCACTACAGAGGAGCAGAACAGGTGACATCACTAACACATCACACAGGGACCAGTAACAACCACACGCTATGACGCATCAACCACAAACTATCATTAAGGATGAGCAATGAGCCATAAAATACAAGAGGCTGCTAGATTACTGTTATAGATAGTTATGGCATGTGTTAAGTAACACAGCTGCCATATCTGCATGGTAACATTTGGACTCTGTACACAGGCATAATTTACACTGGGG